ACAGACCCTTGTTGGCAGTTTGCCACCAAATTTGATAGATAAAATGTCCAATGCAAGCTCTGCGGCAACAAGTACTCAGGCGAGAAAAAAAAAAAGAAGATTGAAACTTGGCTTGGCATGTTTGGCTGGAAATAACATCGCCATATGCCAAAATTCTACAGAATTGGCCAAAGAGCTTTCTCGAGGATCCCCTTCACTAATAAAGAAGGCAAGAAAAAACAAATGAGGAAGAGTGCTTTATTTGAAATTAGGATTGGCCGGTAAAAAAAAGGCATTTTTTTTTCGGTGGGAGGTGGATCTAGTTGATGTAACAGAGGAGCCTAGCCTAGAGAGGACAGGGCTGTCGTACGAAGGATTTTGATGACAGTGGTATTGGGGGAATCTTTGCGGAGCGGTCCCTCTGCATCAGGCGCTACGAGAAAAAGAAGTAGAGTCTCTTTTTTCCTTCTTTTGAAGAAAACAGTAGTACAACCCTCGATGATATCAGTATTTTCGCAGAGGTTGCATGCAGCGGCTAGGAGAGCTATTGGGAGGTTCTTCCTATATGAAGACATAAGCTTTTATGCAGTTTGGGACATTTCATACTACCAGCCTATGTTTATGCTGTAGCAGTTTGTGGTGGCCCCTCAACGTTTGAGATGCGCACTACCATTAGGAGTAGAAAGGAAGACCCCGAGAAGGAATTTTAAGAAACCTCACTTAAGAAGAAGTAGTTGGAGCTGGGCTCCGAACTATGAGAGTTTTCTTTTTTTTATGTTTCTAAGAGCGGTCTGATCCGATCCCTTATTTGATCAGACAGACCGCTCCTGGTGTTCGAACTAGTCATTAATGGTCGGCTTCATTGGTATTCTTTCGGTATGCGTTGCGAACACTTTCATTTTTAGCGTCTTAGAGAAGCGAAACTCGAACGGATAGAGCAGATGGTCCAACTACATAACTTTTTCTTTTTTATTATTTTTATGGTCGTGCCTCGTGGCACGGCAGCACCCGTACTATTGAAATGGTTTGTCAGTAGAGATGTTTCCACAGGTGCCCCTTTTTTCAATGGTACTATAATTCCTATTCCTATCTCTTCATTCCCTCTTTTGGTCTATCTACATTCCAGGAAATTCATACGCTCCATGGACGGAGCAAAAAGTGGAGTCTTGGTCAAAGCAAGCCGCCCTATTCTATTACCAGACATAATTGGGAGAAGCTCATCCGAAACTAGAGCTAGAAACGCCTCATTTCGTTTCGTTCCCGTTCTTCATTTTCTTCTTCTCGAATCCAAGGGGGACTTCTCATATTTAGAATCTTTCTGCGGTGTGCTCCGTTTACTATTCTTTCGTACTTTCTTCTTTTTTTTACCACGCGATAGGTCAGCGAAGCGTGAGCGGGCGCGGAGAAGGAAACGCCAAACACTTCGGCCTAACGGGAATGAGCAACGACGAAATGACAAGATGAGGTGCTCCGGGCACCCCCATTTAGAAAGAAGGGTCGAAGGTTTTGGGCCTGTAGCTTTCCCCGTCCCCCCTTCGTCGGGTGGTGCTTGTGTAGGGGATATGCCACCAGAAATCGGGCTTGAAGCTCTCGCCTTACGACAGCTGATGTCTATGGCTGTTGGTCACGACTACTACCAAAAAGCTCCAATGAAGATGATGAATATTTCACATGGAGGAGTGTGCATCTTTATGTTGGGTGTTCTTCTGTCGTGCGACCTGGCGGCTTATGTGCGACCTGTGGCCCACGCCTCCTATTTGTTCAGGGCGGGCGGCGTGAACTCTGATTCGATTCGGGTATTCAATCCCGCCGCTGAGATGCTCAGTTGACTCCTTAACCTTGATAGGAAGATGGCTTATTCAATAATTCGTGCATAAGGGTAAGGAACTTTGGATGAACTAATGCGAATGGGTGTAAGCCTCGCTGCTCGGAAACACCCAGTGCTGACCACACTGAGAGACACGAAAGCGCGGGTAACGCCAGTTGGCGAAGTGGCGTTAAGCATCCCTAGCGGTACGAAAAGAGAGGTCGTGATGATATCATCTACGTCCGTACCGCTCCTCGTGGAGTAGATCCCGCATCCGACCAAGTCTTTGACCAGGGAACGGGAGAATTCCCACTACCGCTGGCAGGCCAGCCGGGCCGTGAGCGCGGTGGGAACGGGCTTCCCAAAAAGCCAGCCCCAGGCCGGAGTCAGCATAGAATGAAGGGGACGGCCCTAATGTTGTGTTGGCAAAGCTCACTTCTTGGGTTGCGGGCGGAGAAGAGCGGACGTGGGGACTCGGGTCGGGGCGCAGCGTAACTAAGAGAGCCTTTCCATTTAGGGCGAGACAAAATGGGCGGGCACGAGCGGTCTGGTGTCCAAGCCAATTGGTCAGACGACGACTACTTCACTTATTAGATTAGTATTAGCCCGGAATGAAATGAGATAAAAAAATAGAAAGAACGCGAAGCGCTATAGGATCGGTTTTTTTGGGGGGATAAGCTCGCTTCTTCACAAGCTTATCCCCGCCCCGACCGGCAGCTGCTGGGTCTCCCCATCTCTCCAAACCTTCCCCCGGTCTTCGGCCCGAGCTGTATGAGGCAGAAACTCGTCCCACGTACGGTTCGGAGGCCGAGCCCCACCCCAGCAGTAATGGTGCGGCTTAGGTCAACTAACACAAAGAAGATACAGTTCACTCAACGATTGCCTTTGGGTTCCGAACTCCATATGGGGAAGGAGCGTTGTTGTTTGCGAGGTCTCGATCATTTACATGGACCCACTTCTCATTCCATTTGTGGGAATTTTATGATCTATAAACCGTCCCTAACGATCGATCGGCTCATGTTTGAGCGTGATGAATCACAATCACTTCGTGCCGACCTGTTGCTAAAAAACTTTCCGGCCTCATATGAGAATGGAAAACTGGAGCATTTTCTGTATTGGTGGATGAAGAATCGCAAACATAATAATTTCTGGTTAACCATGTTCCCAGAAAAAAGATACTTTCGAGAAACGACGAGCACGACTGAAGTGGCTATACATACAAATCTATTTACGGATCTATATGCTTCGATTGGAACTGGAAGTTCCAGAACAGGAGGCTGGTATACCACCATAATGAAACTGCCTTTTATTTTTTTTATTCGGATAGGATTTATGTTGGCTTCGTTGGGAGGCTCGCGTAGTTTGTTACGTCAGCTCCAAAAGGATAAGTTGCGTTGGAATCGAGAAAGTTCCGTAGAGTTCATAATTGCATAAAAGGAGTCAAAGTAGTGGCTGCGGCGCGTCGCGGCACTTCTTTGATGGTCCCCGTCCGCCCGCCCCGCTCTGAAGAATTCATGGGCCTAAGGCGGGCGAGACAGAATGGGCGGGCACTACTAACCAAGCCAAGCCTAGTTCTCGCCGATAAGCGCTGGTAGCTTGCTTCCAAGCCTTGCCTTATATAATAGTTGTGGCCATGGCCCGAAGGAGGGGGGACCCCCCCCTGTACAATGCTCAAGTCAAGGCTCCATCCTACTCGTTGCCCAGAGCCTTGACTTGAGTTACTAAAGCGTGCCATATATATTGAGGGAAGGGAAAAAGGGGTCTCTTTCCTCGCCCGATGGTAGAGGTCGATCCCCTATCACCTTCGGTGCCTCCTTGTGGTCCTTCTCTTTAGCCTTTCCTCGGCCTTTAGAGCTAGTTGATAGGCCACTTTCCACATCCGATGCATCGAGATTTCATCTTGGATTTCTAACCTCAAGCCCTATCAAGCAAGGGATTCTTCGTCGGATTCGTTCAAGCCATTGCGAATAAACAATTGGTAGAACTCCGCAACTTGTTAGGAGTAGGGGCTTTCTTGTACGCTTCTCTCCCTCCTATCCTTTAAAGCGAAGTGAAACCTTTGGAACAAGCTTTGGGTCTAATCGGAGGGTAGAAATTGATCCTGCAACCTCGATCGCATCTTGTCCCATGTACTTCCCTTTGCCTTTCCGCTCACGCCTTGCTTGGACTTGATCCCACCAAATTGAGGCATGACCCGTGCTCAGGAATTTCACCTTCGCATACCTCGGATAGTTCTTTCCAATCAAAGAATTTCTCCACGCTACTTAGCCAATCAAGAAAGTCCTCGGGATGCAATCGGCCATGGAAATCGGGAACGCCCACTTTGATCCCACGATCTCCTTGATTTCGATGCCCTTATAAGACCCGGATCAAGCGCTTCCTTATTATTTAATATATATATATATATATTTATTTATTTAATAATTGGCTGGAACTTCTTCTTCTTCTTTCTTTTTTACTTTTAGGAATTCGGCAAGCGAAAATCCTTTCTTCTCTTGAGTGATTGCTTGAGTTAAGCCTTCTTGACTAGTTTTGAGTCCCGGTTTTCAGTTTTTGGATGATTTTGCGGGTCTTAGTATAATAGATTCCATAGGCTTTTCCCGTGCTCTTCCAATATCTTATATAAGAGAAAGATACATTGAAGAGAGTTTAACCAGGTCTTCTTTTATCCCTTTCTCTGCACTCCTGTTGCTTGCCCGTCCCTCCTGCCGGACTACCTGTCCCTCTCTGTCTGGTATTCATAGAGGTTTCTTCAGCAGGGGAGAAAGAAGAAATGAATAGACTGTTCTGGCTACTCCATGAGAGAATGGGAGAAATCATCGATGCTAGTCTAGTTCTGTTTTTCTTTTTCTCTTTCTTATGTTCTTTCTGCTAGGGTGACTCTTCCTCTGATCTTGTAGCTGTTCTCTTGGCCACAGCTAAAGCTAGTTAGTAGTCAGAGTAGTATGCCTCGACAGGAAGACCTTCTTTCCCTGGGATGTTTTTGGCAAAGGGGGAATGGGATTTCGTGATCTGTCCTGCTTCAAGATGGCTCTCTTAGCTAGGCAAGGCTGGCGAAAAAAGAATATTTACAGGGCTTTCATGTGAGACACTCTTTTTTAGAGTTGAAGCGGCTTTATTTTGTGCCAAAGGGAGTTATAATGCGCTTTGGTTCACAGGTATATCCCTATGCTTAGTCGGGCCAGTTTCACCGAGGGTTTAAGCAGTGATTAGGTACGAGCAATAGTATGATTAGGATGATGCCTGAACTGGAACTGGTAGAATCCCTACTAGTCACCGAAGTTGGTGCCTTTTCCATTTACAGACCAAAGATGCTTTGGTTTATAAATATATAGCATAGGTGAAGGCATAGCCCATTTCAGTTCCATAGCCATAGCCTTGTGTAGTTCCAGCTGATCCAGTCGATTCATAAGTTTCAAGCCCCTTACTAGATAGGGCGATATCCACCAAGCCAGCAGCATACCTTTCAGACCCCTACTAGATGCGGCAAATCAACCAACGTCAGGGATGGTAGCTAAAGATCGGAATAGAGATCCAGTGTGAGCTAACCGAATTGACCCTGCAGCTAAGGCAATCGCAGGAGAAGCGTTGAAGAAGAAGTAGTTTAAGCCATTGATCCAGTCGTTGATCCTGCAGCTTATCAAAATAAGCACCAGCAGACAGAGGTAGATACAGAGCCATAGGCTTCATGATCGATAGCCTTATGAATACGACCCTCGTGCTCGTTCTATTATTATTATTATAAGTAATTCCACGCTCAAACCTCTAATCCACTCTTTAACCAGCTAATCCATAAGGAAGAA